AGACATAAGTTCTTTAATATTTTTTTGACGTAAATATTCCGGACACGTACGCGCTGTTGAAACATGTGGACCTTTGCAAAAGAAACATTTCATAGTGCAATCATCGGTATGTTTAAGCTCACCACAATTCATACATTTTTCTTTTGCTTTACAATTCGTTTTGGTGTGTCCAAATCTTAAGCAGTTGTAACATTGTGTTACTGGGGGAATGAACACATTAACCAATTTTGGTAGATCGTAAAAATTTATTGATTTGGGCATTAAAACACCACTGAATGTGAACAAAACTGTACCTGTAGGTTCGTATGTAGTTGTATCCCCTTTGACTACTCTCCTGTTTAGCCTTTTAGCATTGAGAATTTTTATATCGCTGTTAGTAGAACAACATTCAATAAGTTCATTTTCATTTATTTCAACATCTATTTGACGTACAATACCTTTACAAGATATATAATTAAAAGGTATATAAATTTTGTAACCTTGATCTAATAAATTTTTGTTATTTAGGAAATTATTTGCAGATAGATAATTATTAAACTCTACAGAAATTCGGTTTGAACCTTTGCTTCTAATTTTATTAATATTATTTAATTTCAAATTAAAAATATCTCTCGCAATTTTTATATTATTGAAAGAACCAACTCTAATATTATTTATATTTGTTGACTCAATAAACACAAAAAACGGGCCAACATCTTTTTCAGAATACATATTGACAGTTGAATTTAATTTTTTATTTTCATTTTCATTGGGATCAGGGGGGGTAACCCCCCCCCTCCACCTTATTCATAAAGAATCAGTCAGAAATGTCAAATTTTTGGTCACAAAAAATGAATAAAAAATTATTTTTATCAAAATAAAATTCAAAATAATATTACAAAAAAGTACAATGCTCAAAATACCTGTTCAATTTACAAGGATAGGTTTGATTCTGTTCTATTTGGCACAAACACGCACCTCTTTTTTTCGTTGACAGTAAGTAGCTCTTTACTGCACGAACGACGACAGGGGAATGATGTGACCTATTCAAATAATTTTGACTTCACAATTTTATGTAAATAACTGAGTCCATCTGTGTTTATACGTCCATGTGTCAAATCAAAAAAAAATTTGTAGGTACGGGGTTTTTCATTATATTTTGACCCCAACTTATTTTTCTTACTTTCGGGAATACAAAAAAAGGTTTCAAATAAAAGTTGTATTATTTTATCTGTACCGACCAACGATGTAGAACAGACCAAATTTTGTATACAGGGAGTGCCCAATAAAATGCATCTTTAATATTTCAAATGGGACACCCAGTATTTTTTTATAGTTTTCAGTAGTCTGCATTTCATAATTACTAATATATAACATTGTGTAGCATTAGTTTTGTTCTATAAAATTATGTATTATTATAATTTATATGAAGCAATAACGAGTAAATATTTGTCTCTTTCGAGATTAATTGCAAACATCTGTTGCAATCTGGCAACTGCTGATTTCATGATTTCCAAATGTATTTCCTAATATATCAAAGGGTAATAGCCAAAAAAAATTTCTAATAATTAACTACAATTAATCTCTAAAGAAGCAAATACTTACTCATTCTTGTTTTATTAAAATCAAAAATTGCAGAATTTATAACATAATATAAACAAAATATACTTTTCTAAAGGTTTATCTTTTTATATTGGAAGCACATAGCACCTACATTATAAAAACATGCCAACACTGCTATACCGAAATTGTTTATTCCATGTTTGAGATTTACCGCTATAATCAGCTTGTACTTTCGGTAAACTAAACCAGATAATTTTGAAAAATATTTCTTTAAGACTTCCCGAGCCTACTTTGCAGACAAGACCGACAGCTTTTCAAAAGGAGAATGTTGCGAAGATTTTTACACTTTTGCAACAAACGTTGGAGAGATATAACTTGTCACCAAGCCGCATCTTCAATTGTAACGAATCAGGACTGTTGACAGTATCAAATAAACCATTGAAAATATTTTCCTACAAGGAAAAAAGCAAGTGGGATGTTTGTCGCCGGCTAAGCGAGGAACACTTTCCAGGATTGAGGTTTGTTTCAATGCTGAAGGTTTTTATGAGAAGGACAATTACAATTAGAATATTGACGGCAAGGCCTTCTCGGTCGCCAGCAGACGAAATCCTTGTCAATCTAGTGCAAAGAAAATACTCACGGTCTGCACATGAAATGTTAAAACATACAGGAGGCCGGTAAGACTTATAATGCAATCAATAAAATGGATAGATTATCAATAGACATCATAGAAATAAGCTAAATAATATGGACAAACTCTGGGCAATGTGAAATTAATAATAATCACATATATTATTCAGGTTACCCCAACGGAAGACATGAAAATGAAGAAGGTATAATTTTAAATCAAGAAGCTGCTAGACATCTTAAAAACTTTATACCTATATCGGAAAGAATGTAAACCATCCTATAATAAATTATCCAACAACTTGAAACAATTTCCCGAAAAGTATTTAACCTTGATTATGGGTGATTTAAATGCCAAAATATGAAACTATGACTTAAAATATGTTTATTAATTTGTTTTTTTAGATTTAAAATGGTACGGAACTATGAGCAAAAAATAAATCAAAAGTCATGGAGCAAAGATGCTATAGATGATGTGGGAAACAACGTAATGCCCAATAAAAGAGCAGCTTTAACCTGCCAGGTGCCTACAACTTTGAAGCATCGATTAACAAAAATAGACAAGGTTTCCAAGGATGTAGCGAAAAAAGTTAGGATGATTCGCCACAAGTTTTACGTCCGAGCAAGAAAGTAAATTCTTCTTCTTCTTCTTCTTCAGCCTGTGTTCGTCCACTGCTGGACATAGGCCTCTTCCATTTGCTTCCATCGATTTCTACTTTTGGCAATTCTCATCCACTGCTTGCCCGCGACTTGTTTGATATCGTCTGTCCACCTCTTCTGCGGTCTGCCTACTCCTCGCCTGTTCTCTCTTGGTCTCCAGTTTGTTAATCTAAGAAAGTAAATTAGCAGATCATATCTTAGAAATGGAAAGTCGTCTTTTTGACCTTGGAACTCCCGATTTAAAGAGGCTGTTATTTCAGTTTGCGGAGAAAAACAATATTTCCCATTTATTTAACCATGAAAAAGACTTAGTTGGACGCGATTGGGTATATGTATTTTTAAAACGTCGAAAAAATATTTCTTTAAGAAGTCTCGAACCTACTTCGCAGGCAAGAGTGACATCTTTTAAAAAGGAGAATTTTGCAAAGTTTTTTACACATTTGCAACAAATTTTGGAGAGAAGTAACTTGTCACCAAGCCGCATCTTCAATTGTGACGAATCAGGACTGTTGATAGTACCAAATAAACCATTGAAAATATTTTCCTGATAAGGAAAAAAGCAAGTCGGATGTTTGTCGTCAGCTGAGCGAGGAACACGTTCCACGATTGAAGTTTTTTTTCAATGCTGCAGGTTTTTCTGGGAAGGAGAATCATAAGACAACAAGACCTCGGTCGCCAACAGATGAAATCCTTGCCAATCTAGTACAAAGAAAATGCTCATGATCTACACATGTAATGTTAAAACATTATATGAGGCCAGTAAGACTTATAATGCAATCAATAAGATGGATAGACTATCAATAGACATCATGGAAATAAGCGAAATAAGATGGATGAACTCTGGGAAATGTGAAATTAACAATAATCACATATATTATTTAGGTAACCCCAACGGAAGACAAAAAAATGGAGTAGGTGTATGCATCTTAAAAACTTTGTACTCGAAAAGAATGCTCCTCCTTCAACTTGATACCTTCCCAATAACAACTAACATTACCCAGGTATATGCCCCTACAGCTTACAAACCAGACGACATAAGTAAACCATTCTATAATGAATTATCTAACACCGTAAAACACCTTCTCAAAAAGGATCTAACCCTAATTATGGGTGTTTTAACGCATAGTTAAAGCAAGATCAGCGTTTGTTAAGATAAAGTCTCTTTTCAGAAGTCACGATTTACCACTTAGTGCCAAAATCTCCATCGTTAGATGCTATGTATTTTCTACATTATTATATGGAGTAGAGGCATGGACGCTCTCTGAAGCTTCTTTAGGAAAGCTCAAGGCCTTCGATATGTGGTATTGCATGCACATCCTACGAATTTCATGAGTAGATTATGTGACTAATATTAAAGTCCTACGTAGAATGAGCAGATAGGGCTTATTGCAACTCATTCTTCAGGGCAAGGTATTTGGAAAGAGAGGACCAGGGAGAATAACATCTGGGCTTCAAAACCTAAGGAAGTGGTTCAATACGTCTACAACCAGACTATTCCGAATAGCTCCAAGTAGTGTTGCCCAAATGCAAGAACAAGACGAGACTTAGACAGTCTTGGTCTTGGTCTTGCACCAATATATCTGGTCTTGGTCTTGGTCTTGGTATTGCGCTCCCAGTCTTGGTCGTGGTCTTGGACTTGCAGCAAGAGTCTTGCAAGTCTCGCAAATTTCCCATTAGCCTATTACTATTTATTAAACGTTACTTTAGATCTTGAACAACGTAACACAGTAGGTACATTTTAAGCTTGAATTAACATAGTCATAAAAAGACCAACCAAATTAATGAATGTCAACAACTGACACTGGGTGGGGTTTGAACCCACGATCTAAGCGATTCGTGCCTATGCTCTAACTAGCTGAGCTATCTACCATGTCCCAAGGGAGTTAATCTGTTTCTTAATAAGCGTTTGCTTTTAACAAGCTTACGTATGCACAAACATGGTTAAAAAACAAAACAACCATGTTAATGACATAAACTTGACTGTATTTTAAAGAACAATATTTGTCTAGAAAGGGATTGGTGAACCCTCACCTTATATGAAATGGAATAAAATAGTTGTATAATTTGCCATTTATTTAAATAAAAAATAAAATACAACACAGTGCACAATAGACTTTTACATTACTGATACTTTATATTTATTCCTTTGAGCAAGAATTAATACAAAGTAACTATCTGGCTGACTCATCACTTAACCTATTTTTATGTTTTCTAATTACCAACGATGCTTTAGAAAATAATCTCTCAGCAGGTACTGAAGTTGCTGTTATTAAAAGAAAATCACGGGCCATCTTCGATAAAGTCGGATATTCTGTCTCATGCGTCCTACACCACTCTAAAATGTCTTCCGAGTTAGAGGCTCTGGGTTTACTTAGGTACTTCTCCAACTCGTCGATAACTAAGCCTTGATGACGAGATCCAGGTGAAGTCGAGGAGCATTCATACAGTTTCTCAAAGTCTATTAAGTCTTCATCTTCATCATATTCAGATACTTTCTTTTCATTTCTTGGTGATTCTAGAGATTTGTTTACTGGGTGTAGAGTTTTATATTCTTTGTTACGTTTACTAAATTTTCGCAGGCTTTCTGTATTAATTGGCTTCCCCCATAACATCATGTCAAAAGTCTGAGCCTTATGCCTTGGGCCTAAAATTAAAGAGATACAATAAATCCAGTTGCTCTTCTTATAATGTTTAAGCATTTTTTCTCGAGCTGCTTGAAAACCAAGAATGAGCCTTTTATCCACTTCAGATCGATTAGGTTTCTCATCTAATTGTTTTATGATGGATTCAATTTTATCGAGCAAGAGATTAAATGATACAATCACTGGTGGTAATGTAACATATTTTTCTCCACCAAGTTTTGTTGACAAAAGTTTAAAGTTTATTGAAACTTATGTACTTTTTTCGAGTGTTTGCCATTCACTATCTGTGATGTTAAAATCGTTCAATGGTCCGTTTCATTGTCAGTTTTACTGTATAATGTTAAGGTATTTAATAGATCTTGTATGTATCTTGTACCGAATAAAAAACCGAGAATTATTATCGCTACTTCGTTACTTTTAATATATCGGTATTTTCTTTACACTGTAATCGGCATTATCTCTTTGTTTGTTTATCTCGTTACTTTTGAATATTAGCCGCATTCTTTCAGTAAATTTTGAATGGTATCATCGCATACTCAGCAAAAAAGATGTTTAGTCTTAGCCGATAAGATTTGTGGTATTTAAATTCCTCGTAACTAAATTATAAGGAAAAAAATATGCTAACCTAATTATATTTCTTATCAGCTAAGGTGATACATTTTTAAAAAGTTTCGATACGATATTACTGTCGGCGTCGTAAAGCAAAGATATTATTTTATTTTTAGAAGGGGCTATTCTCAAAATCTGGACAATTAATTTCAGAGTGAAGAAGTAGTGTGCTGGGAAAGAATGTACAAAATATTTTATTTTTAGATTGTAATTATGACCTCTGAGTACGTGTCAAATTTTTAAGTGTTTTTGTAATGAATATTATAATTCGCTATGTATGTTTATGGTATTTTTCGTAATCCACAAGTCAAATTTTCTAAATTTTTGGTAATACTTCTTTGCGTCTCATAGAGTCTCTAAGCATAAACCCGAACTATTATACTCCTTTAAACCACACTCAGTCCTAACTGCAAGACGCAAGAGTCTCGCAGGCTTAGTCTTGTTCTTGCTCAAGTCTTGTACGGTTAGTCTTGGTCTTGGTCTTGCAAAAATTAGGCAGTCTTGGTCTTGGTCTCGGTCTTGCAAAAACGCAAGAACAAGACCAAGACTGCAAGACCAAGACGATTTTGGGCAACACTAGCTTCAAGTAAAGTTGGGATGGCTATACTGATCGTCAACATCCAGACGGATAGGCATCGTAAGAAGAAGAAGGTTTTTATGTGCAGAAGGCGATACAATTTCAAATTGTACGAGAAGTATAAAGAAATAGCTAATGGTGATATTAATATGAATATCTTGAATCATAAAAATTATAAAATTGAGTATGCTTAGATGGGTTGGACATATGTCGAGACCAAATAAAAATTAACCACCCAGAAGAACTCCATTAGCAGCACCAGTACGAAATAGGACAAAAGTAGACCAAGACTGAAATGGATGGAATATGTGGACGAGGACGTGAGGTAGATCAACGCAGCAAACTGGCAACGGTTGGCGATGAACAGAGACAACTGGCGAAATAGACTGGGGAAAGTCAAGGCATAACTAGAGCTATAGCACCACTGATGATAATGATGAGATAAAATTACTGAAATAAAAACTGTCGATAATGGTTTTTAGGAATTTGGATGTAGGACCTTTTTTGTCAAACGCTTATCGAAACAATAGTCCTTATTTTTATGTATATGTGACAGTTGAGATCGAAAAACTAACTGGCCAATAAAGAGCTCAACGCCAAGGAAACTTACAGTTGGACAAAACAATGTTCTATATGAAAACTTGGCACCACCAAAAAAAAATTCTCCTTCTTCTCCATCATATATATGAACATTATGAAACAGTCCATCAACTATCTCCCAAAAGCAGACAACTTCAAATTACGGATGATCCTAATTTTATGCTCGGTAGTGTATAAAATAATTTTCTATAATTATAGCCAACGTTCAAAATAATAAAGAAAAAACCTTAAGAAAATTACAAATTAGTAAATAATTATGGTAAGTTAAACAACTGTTTTAAAAAATTTAGATATATATCTGTGACATTTACTCATCTGACGCCATTGATGTTCATCACAAGAGAGATATGATATAAAATACTATAACTTGAAAATAATTAATAATTGTCGTAGACTACGCTACAGTTGTTTTGTATTTCTAGAGTACGTTTTATTAGAAGCAATCGACGGCAGCAAGGCAGAGTAAAGGAGTGTTTTGATTTTCCGAGCTTTTCATTAGCAGAAGTACAAAAGAAAGCAGCAGCTGCTGTCGTTGCTGCATCTGACGTCGCCGTCGTGCCACCGTGTCATTTTCAATCGACAAACCTTTTTGCTTTGGTTTCTTTTGTGTTTAATTGTAACCTGCAAACCTATTTCTAGTTTTTCATGTTTGATGTCGCTCTCTTCTTTACGGGGGTAATATCAAAGTATATAAATCTAGTTTATAAATTGCAATAACGAAAGTTATGCATATATTTCTTTTACTTATTTATTTTATATATTCTATATCATACTTTAGGTACTCATTTGATTAAACAATATTTTTTAATAACGCTCCTCATGCATATTTTATAATAACACTACTACTAGTATCGGTTTACAGCATTCTCCGACGCCTTCCGACTCCGAACCGCCATTCTTCTCTATTCAACCATAGGCCTGGAGGCATTTCTCTTGCCTCTAGTTCTTTTTTAATTGCCTCTCTCCAGCTTCTTCTCGGTCTTTCTCTTTTCCTTCTCCCTTGTGGTGTCCACGTCAAAATCTGTTTTAAAATCCTGTCATCTGGCATTCTCTGTACATGGCCGTACCATATTATCTGTTTTGTTTTTATGTCATCAACTATTGTATGCTTGACTTCCATCATTTCTCGTACTCTCTCATTTGGTATCCGATCTCTTTTTGATTTGCCTGCTGCTCTTCTCCAGAAGTCCATTTCTGTTGCTAGTAACAGTTTCTCTGTTCTTTGTTTCATTGGCCAAACTTCACTGCCATATGTGATTACACTTTTAAGTATGGTATTGTATATGAGTTTTTTGTTCGCTTTAGATATTGTTTGTTAGCACAGAATGCCGTTCATCATGGGTATGGCTTTTCTACCAGCATCGAGTATTCCATCTTGTGTTATCTTAATACCCAAGTACTTGTTGTCATCACAGTTTCTAATTTCTACCCCATCGTCTAATATAATGGATTGTTTCGTTCCTCCAATACACATGGCTTCAGTTTTCTTAATGTTGACTTCGAGACCCTATTTGTTATATTCTTCTATTAGCTTCCGAGTCATGTAACTCAAGTCGTCATGATCCTGGGCAATCAGTATTTGGTCATCAGCGAAACATAAGGTGTACAGTGTAGTCTCGTCATTAAGAAGGATTCCCATGCCATTACATTTTCTTTTCCATAACTTGAGTGCCTGTTCCAGATAAATTTTGAAAAGGGTAGGCGAAATACAGCAACCCTGCTTTAGTCCTTTCGTGACCTTAAATACTTTAGATATCCTTGATCCAGTTTTAATTTTTGCAGTCGTTCCATTATGCAGACTTTGGACTGCTTTAATAAGACCATGCTTAATGTTGGTTTGCTGTAGGGTTGACCATAGTTTACTTAGGGGTACACTGTCATATGCTTTTTGTAAGGCTACGTACACCAGGTGAACTTCTTTATTGAAGGCTGTTTTTTTCTCAATAACTTACGTAATAGAGTACAGGTGGTCTACTGTGGACCGCCCAGCTCTAAAACCAGCTTGCTCCTCTGCTTCGTAATCTCTATAGTAATTTTCTATTTTGTTCTTAATAAGTTTCCCATACATCCTACTTATTGTGCTGTTTACCACAATTCCTCTGTAATTTTTACACTGATCCTTGCTGCCCTTTTTGTGGATAGTTGACATGATAGATAATTTCCATTCTTTTGATAATTCGGCCCCATTCAAGCAGTCTTGAAAGAGTTTCTTAACTCTTCCTGGAGTTTGTCTGTACCGGCTTTCACTAATTCTGCAAGGATGTCACCGGGACCAGGGGATTTTCCATTTTTCAGGAATTTAGTTATTTCTTTCATCTCTGATTTACTGATTTGTAATGGTGATGAATTTGTACGTATACCTATCGTGTTGTCTTCCATGTTAGCAAATTCTGGTTTTTGTTCTGTTAGTAATTTTTTGAACTATTCTTCCCATTTTTCTGTTGTTATTGGTGATATAACGTCTTTTTTCTTATTATTTCTCATACTTTTAATCAATTTTTAATTCTCTGTACTTCTTCTACCTCCTATGTAAGTGTTAATCTTTTGGCAGTTCTGTTTCCATGATTCGTTCTTTTTTTGAGTTATCTTTTTTCTTACTTTGGCTTGTGCTTCTTTGTAAATTGATTTATCGTTTTCTGTTTTTGTTGTTAAAAATGTTTGGTATTTCCGACGTTTATCTTTAATTTCCTTCTCTATTTCTTCATCTCACCAGTACGATTTGATTCCTTTATGATTTTCGTCACATGTCCCCAGTGCTTCTTCTGCTGCTAAATGAATCGACCTTTTGATGTGTTTGTAGTGTTCTTCGGTATTTTCAAAACTACCCATTTTTAATTTTTGGTCTAATTTTTGGTCTAATTATTTTTTATAATAACACAGTTCTGCAAAACAATTTATATGGTTTTTGATGCGCTGAATTCAATAATTACGTCTTCATTTGTAACGTTCGTTATTTTCGAATTATAATAAAAAAAATCAATAATAGTCTTTTATAATCACTAAGAGTTGGGTAGCAGGTAGCAACTTCTTTGGACAGTCTTACCAGGGAAAGTGGATCAATCCCTGCCCTCCGCAGATTTCAGGAGTTTCCTGACACGGTAAACTAGTACCTGCTTAGGGTCCCTTGTCTAGGGTCACGGATGAAGACCACAACGGTATCCACGGTGGAGAAGAACATCTTCGG